CCCAAACCCAAAACCCTAAACGCTAAATCCTCAACCTTAAGTCCCAAAACCGTAAACCCTTTAGGGCAGGGCTTCGGAGTTCGGGCTCAGGGTTTAGGGCTTAGGGGTTTAAAGGGTTTGGGTTTAGGGTTTTGAGGGTTTAGGGCTTAGGGGTTTAGGGGTTTAGGGTTTAGTGTTTGGGGGCTTAGGGCTCAAGGGTTTTTGCCCTCTCGCACGGCAGAGAACTCTGCTCACAGGCGAGGTTCGTAACGGGAACAACTGTAGGCTGCATCTAACTAGACTGTGAGTTTCATCATGTCGTTGTGTTATATGAAATCCTGAGGACCCATCTCATCACAACAAAATTTCATAGTCATCCCGCTGAGGTACACATAGAGTGAGGACTCAACTGAAGTTTAGGGTTTAGGGCTTAGGGCTTAGGGCTTAGGGTTTAAGGGTTTAGGGTTTAGGGCTCAGGGCTTAAGGGTTTAAGGGTTTAGGGGTTTGGGGTTTAGGGGGTTCGGCGCTCACACTCGGACAATCCTTTAGGGGTTTAGGGTTGAAGGTTTAGGGGTTTAGGGTTTAGAGTTTGGGGCTTAGGGTTTAAAGTGCTCGGAGCTGAGGTGTCGTGATTAGGGTTTAGGGTTTTGGGTGCATGGGTAGCTTGAAGGATGGCAGACGAGCTCAGGGTGCTGGGGTGAGATGTGGCGTGGAGCATTCGGGGCTTGGGGGCTTACTTACCCATGATGAGATCTTCAAGCGGCTCTTAGCAGTGGGGGGGGGGGCTTGCAGGGGTTAGGGCATAGAAATCCCTAAACCCCTAAACTACAAAAAAAAACCATTGAATCCAAAAACCCGGAAGTGGACCCCTCTACAGCCTCCAAGCCCGGATCACCCAAAACCCGCAGAGCTTCTCATAGCCCGTAGGCTCGGGGTGTGGGGTTTAGGCTTTGGGGTTTAGGCTTTACGGTTTGGGGTTTGGGGTTGCGGGGTTAAGGTGATATCCGGCAGGCTCATCTGGGCCCCGCGCACTTCCACAGCTCATCCAAGCTTCGCAGTTCCTCTGGGACTCTTTACAGAAACTGCGAAGGACGTTCCGAACGGCTTTGGGGCTTTCTTTAGGGTCTGCATGCTTTTTTGATGCTGTGAGGTTTGAATACTTCTGGTTCGGGTGTAGAGGGTGTTTAAGGCTAGGGTTGCGAAGGCGTTGCAAGGGTCGTTTTGGGCGTTGAAGTTGGCTTCTGAGTGCTTTGGGGCCTTTGTTGGCGGCGTGTGGGATGCAGAAAAAAACAATTAGATAAGGGTTTGGGGCCCATGATACTCTAATTGTAGTCAGGAGCCCCAAAATAGTAGGTAATTATTAAGGCTCCTACATTGAGGGCTTTGGGGTGTTCCAGGGTTTGCGTGCCCGCTTTCGCTTTGAGAGGTTTCTAGAAGCTTTTCAAGCTACAGAGCCACGAAAGCAGACCTTTCTTGTTGGGAACTCCGGGGGGTGAAACCAACTCCACCAAGCCTTCCTAGATCAGTTTTGGGTGCTGAGTTTAGGATTTAGGCCTGAGGTGTAGGGCTTTATAAAGCCTGCGAAGGGCTTGAAATACAGGCCAACCATGCTCGCGAGTCGTGCATCACCTCCTGGCGGCTGCCATAACCCTATTCCATTTTTTAAAGGCCCCTTTATTCAACCCCTACAAACCCCTCATCTTGGCACAACCTGCCCAAATGTCAAACCCAAAAACTCCCGCACAACCCCCACACACCTCTTACAGAACCTGGCAAAACATCCAGAAAACCACTACAGAACCCTGTAGAGCCTTGAAGATACGGGACCCTTACAGACCCTGTCAAAAATCTCCCACGAGGTCGCCTCCTCCACCCCGGGCGTCTGCACCTTCAGCCGGTAGATGCCCAGCCTGAGAAGGGGTTCTAAGGTTCGCCATGGGTTTTTAGGGTTGGGTCTTCGTTATGGGGGGGGCGGTAGTGTGTTGTTTTACTTTGGGCTTCGGGCGTCGAACTTCGGAGCTGGCTTTTTGAGCTTTGGGTGTTGATTTTTTGGGTTTTGTGCCTCAGCACTGTCAGGCCCGATAACCCTGCCCGGTAGGACTGTAACAGGTTGACTTCAGGAAAACGTCTGGGAGTAAGATCCATGACGGCGCGTGGGCTCAAGCCTCCATCCAGCCTCAAAATTGGCGATGTCTGAGAAGCACACAACGACGAACCTGTCTGATGAAGAGTAAACTCCCTTGTCAGTGTAATGCCGCCGCCCGAATCGAAGTCCAGACACTACAACTCCGAAGCGAAGTGAAAGGAGCCATAACGCCTGCAACAGGGTGTCACTAGATCTGCAGACTCCTCCCTGGGAGCATCCGAACCATCAACCTCAGAGACGAAAGATCGTATCGACTGGCCACCTGAAGCCACAGCAACCACAGGGTTTAGGGTGTAAGGGTTTAGGGTTTAGGGGCTTAGGGCTGCTTCCCCACAAAGTGCAATGGAATTCGGCTGAAGCAGCTCATGCCTGAGCGCTGCACTTCCAGCCTAACTTCTCCTGGATGCGAGAACAAGTCAGGTAGCAGTAACAGCCGCTGCGAAGCTGCTCTTTGCTGTGGACGGTGTAGTGCTCTTGTTGAAACTTGGAAGTCAGACTTGCAACTAACATCCTCACTAACAGTTCTTCACCGCCGTCGTCAGCACTATCGTCAGCAGTTTCATCACCATCATTCCTAGCTGGCCATCGCCAGCGTCGTCCACATAGTCGCCCTCATCACCATTGACACCATCGGCACCATCATCACCTGTCGCCCTTCCCATCATCATCGTTATTGTCACGACCATCCTCATCACCACCATTACGTCATCATCATCATCGTCATCATCATCATCATCATCATCATCATCATCATGGTAGGGGTGTGAGAACATCGACTTGTTGATATGGCTGCTCCTGTCGCCGAAGTGGTTCATACTTGATGCTCTAAACCCTCTTTCACCAAACCCACAAACCCTACACATGAAACCCTAAACCCTTATTTTGCACAGACTGCTACATGCCCGTCTGGTTCTCCAACCCTTTTGCAGCAAGCTTGTGAGTTCTCGCGTGGACAAGCTGTTCATGTTCGCCAACAGGTGTAGACACACTACTAAGCTCCATAACCGAGTCCGGTAAGAAATGACAGAAGAAACTGCATGGTCACCCGAAGCAATGCCAGGCGCAAACACATTAATTAACAGTAAACCCTAAACTCTGCAACGGAATTCGGTCGCCCGCCTTTCCCCTGCAAGGAGCTGGCGTTTTGTTTTAGCAAGGCCCGCACTGTACAAGTGGGCCTGGTCTCATGGTCGGAGGCTGTGCGCCACTCCAAAGCTCGACGCTTGAGGAATGTAAATTGCTACTTGCTGGAGAACTGGGCATCTCTCCAGCGAGTAGAACAAACGCGGCCGGTGCTAGCACAACTCCAGCACGAACAGGGCACGCAAACTTCCTAGCGGATATCTACTCCCCCACTAGGGTAGGACGTGGCCACCCGGCTGCTGACACACCACAGTTCGCAGATTGTCGGCCAGCAAGCTGGGTAAATGGCGCTGAACCAGAACACCGTTCGGCGAGCGATTCTACAAGCAAGAGGTGGCCTGAAATAATTGCACTTCTTCTTCTTCTCAAGGCTCACTGATTGACTGATTGCGATCGCCATGCATGCGCCAGTGGCACTACAGGTATGCTCCAACAGTCCTACGAAACTGAACTGATTCTGCAGCCTCCTTCGTGCACCTCCTGCTTAAAAATGAACGTCAATGCAAACACAAGTTTTGTCTTGGTGCTTCCCTGCCAAGCAGGCTTCGACGAAACGGGTTAAAGTACAGAAAGTGGCAAGCACAGAAAATCTGCGCCGCCGCATGCCATGAGCTGCGGGACCTGCTCGGCAGAGAATATGCAGACTAGTTGCAGGGCTCACTTTCAAAGACTTGACCTGAAGCCTAAACCCTAAACCGTTTACCAGCTGAGAGGCTGAGGGGCTTGTAGGGCTTTGCTGGGCGTTCGAAGTAGGGTCGGAGGCAAAAGGACGGACACTTCCTCTCGCTGACCTCAAAGATCTCCTCTCAGAAGCCTCTCTGATCCTCCTGCTAAACAAAGCTCAAAAGCCCTCCTAGCCTTAACCCTAAACCCTAAACTTTCAGCCCCTACACCCTAAACCCTAAACCCTAAACCGTGCACGAAAGGTTCCCCGAGCTCTCTTAGCCCCCGCCTACTGATCGGCAAAGGTGCCGAACAGCTCCAGCCGCTGCTTCAGCCTGGGCTTCGGATAAGATGTTGCGGTGTAATGTAGGGGCCTTGATAATTGGAAGAGGGTTTTGGTGGATACTATGCCATAATTATAAAAAGGAACTTCTGGCTCCCGAAAAGATTAACGCTCTCTGTGAAAAGAACTACCGTGAGGATAACATGTATCTGCACAAAGCTACCATAGTCATGAACATCTTCCACTCTTGGGCTGCTTGCCCACACAGAACTAGGCCTAGGCGCTAGGCACAGAGCAGGTCTGAGATGGTGGGGGAATGAAAATGGCGATGGCCGTCTAACTGTGATGATGCTGGCTGTGGGAACGAAGTGGGTAAAGGAGGTAGGCAAGGTGAAGTCAACCCTGAACTCTTAAGAACAGCCCTGACTAAGCTGAAACCTATTCTGCTACTTAGCCAACACGTCGGGGAGCCGCAGGGAAATTGAAGCGTCCTCGAAGAAGATGCTTAGTCAAGCTTCGGGTTTTTGGCTTACAAGGCGCAACCAAACCAACCTGCAAGGACAAGAAAGAACCTAAAAATATGCAGTTCTTCGGCTATATCCTAGCATGAAAAGTACTTCCCCTCCGAAAACCATGATTACCTCTACTATTCCATAGGATGCC